TATGGAGAGGGCTTATGCCCTGATGGTACCACATGCATTTAGTCGGTGTCAGTCGCATTACATATTGTTGAACTGTTGAGTTGTTGAATTGTTATTGATGCAGAGCTGCATAATTTGGAAAATGTTGTATGATAGTTTTTGATGAATCTAAGTGCTTGTATGGTTAGTATGTGCATGAATTATTGTTGATGGTGTGAAGTATGTGACCTTGCATGATATATCTACTGCATATTTATTATTTTATCTTCTTTTATATTGTTGTGATATCTCACCCCTTCTGTTTGAATGTTGCCTCTACGTGGATAACATGGAGGTGGTCCGTAGTAGACGATGTTACTCGTCATTTATTTCGAGTCGGCGTCGTGTTTTGATACGTAACACTGGGGGGATGAACGCTTGCTTGTTATTTCCTAATTGCTATTTCGTTTTTGATGAATTATTGGAATATTTTAAACTCTCATTTATTTGATTAAACATTGGTTTATGATTAGTCGAGGATGTTGAATAATAAACATGAATTCTTTTTCGCCGTGTTAATAAAGTTAAAATTGAGAATTATGTTGAAAAGTATTGTCGGTTCATCCGAAAGTGTGTTATGTATTTGTTTATTTATACTTCATAAAGTTTTTGATGTGTTGAAAAATGTGGCATCATATTCTTGATGTTTTGATTTAAGAATTATTTACTCTGATTTTTGTTAATTTATAGATGGGGAATTAGGGTGTTACATTAGTGGTATCAGAGCAGGTCGGTCCGTCCGACCAAGTTGTTGAGTCTGTAGTGTGACCGTTGAATATTGTCGTTGTTTTGTTCCTTTGTACGCAATATGTGTGTGAAACACTGTTGATACTTTCTTGTTTCCTAATCACTTGTTGCAAGAGGGAGATTGAAACAAGAGTGAGGGAGAAGTTGTTGCTTATTAAAGAAGTTTTGGTTGCAAGGTACGAACAGTTGGTTCATTGTGCCATGGATTGCAGGAGTGCAAATATTGGTTGGACTATGTTGTTTCCCAATTCTAGAGGAGGTGCGGATTAAAGATTTATGTCTGGCGGTCAGGTCAAAGTGCCCTTGAGAGGGAATGATCAGGTACTTGTGTTGTTCGCATCTCTAGGAGTAGAGGGTGATGTTATGACTAATGATGTGCAAGTCACGTGGGATTCCTACTATTTTCCTAGAGATAATTTCGACTTGTTGTTAGAGAGAGATGTTGGATTGACTTAATGTTATCCTTGGAGTGAACTATATGGAGTTAAACCCAGTTATTACAAATTATTATGATGAGTTGATGCATATTCTTATGCCAGAAGATATCTATTAAGAAAGTAGGATGACTCTTAGAAAGTGAAGTTTAGATGGTTATAATGTTTTCAGCACTGCATGTTGATCATGAAGTTTTCAGTGTTGAGTTACCATTGTGTGTATTGTCGCTGTTCGGAGTAATGCTAGAGTGATGAATTGCTGTGAATTTTGTTGTTGGAATCATGTAAGTGGTTAATGAATGTCGTTGATGTTGTTGGGTATTTGTGAATCGCGAGTCAGAGTCAGGACTCAAAGATATTAGTAGTCTTGTGAAAAGAATTACAATTTTGATGTTTTGAAAACTGAGGTGTTGTACCCCAAAATTTTCCCTCCCATATTTCTCAAAATGTGTCAAGAAAAATCTCCAAATTGCTCAAGGAAGCCCAAGGGTTAACCAGACAGGCTCTCTCCTAAAGCAGTCTATCTCAAATTAGGGTTTTGTGTTGCATCAAGATCCTTGAGTACAAGTGACCCCAAGTGCTCACCAATGTCCTATTATGTTCTCAAGATCATCCATGTCAAATTTCAAGCCTTGCAGAGGAATTTTGCTCAGTCAATTGCTCAAAGTACCAAAAACCGACTATGCTAGAGCAAAAGTCAACTGTGATCTACAAATAGTCAAACTTCAAGATTTTTGGTCAACATCCTCATTTTGAAGTATATTTCATCATTTGATCAAGGGTTGATCATGATTCATCAAGGATTGCTCATAATTCATCAAGACTCAAAAGTTGCTAAATTTGGGTTTTGTAGGAAAAGTCAACCCAAATTTTGACCAAGCATAACTTTCTCATACTTTATGAGAAATGACCCATCCAAAGCTCATTTTGAAGAGATGCAATTACCTACAATCTATCATCATATCCCAAGATCAAAATATGCACTCACAAGAAGTTATGAATTTGGACATTATATGTCATTTTGAAAAGTCAACAAAAATACCTTTTTTGTCAAAGCTTCATACATGAGCATGGAATATCAAATTGAGATGAGACCAAAATGGTTGTTTATAGGACATCTCAAGCTTTCTAAAAAGTCCAATAACACCTCCAAAGAGTCAAAATTGAGGAAGTTAATCATTGTTGAAGTTGGACTTTTTTGCAAAATTGCCAAAAGTCAACTATACCCAAAACTTCAAATTTTGCCAAATGGGCCCATTCTTTTTCACTTGTTTTGAGTTTGCATTATAGCCCACGTGCTTTAGCCTTGGCCATGTGTCCATATCATATTTTTATTAATTATTTTGATTTTTATTTGAACTAATTTGATTTAAATCAAATAAAATCAAATAAAATCCAAAGCATTGATAACAAAGGATTTTTTTGGTTGTTTCAGGCTCTAATTACAGCTAGCAATGCAATCAAATTCGTATCAAGGTAATTTTGCACAAGGAGATTGGATTTAGGCCAAAATTGGAAGGTGGTTAAAGGGAACCAAATCAAATATCAAAATCATCAATGGAGGAGGATTTGGACAAAACTTGCAACCCTAATACATTGTGCAATACATAAGGGTCGTGGGCAGACAAAAATCAGGGTTGGAGATCAAGCATAGAGGGAGAACAAAATTTGCAAAAAGAGGCAAAAAGTGTGAGATCTAAACAGGGCTTAGAGGCATCCTCAAGGCTTAGCACTTGTCCCAATCGTCTCCTGGCCATCTCCACAAGCGAAAGCAACCAAAAGCACACGTTTTCAGACCTTCCCAAGCGCTGTAAGTCACCCACGAACTCGCCCTGTTATTGATTTCGTATTCTGAAATTTAGGCATTGTTAACATGTATTAATGGTATAATCTTAATCTACAGAGCATTTGCAAGCTTTTGGTATTATTTAATTGCATTTACATGACCTATATCGTGATAGCTAGGGTTTCTTGGAGTTTTTTAGGGCTTTTTGTTACAGGAATAATTGGCCTTCGTGAAAGGTACTATCTTGTTCAGGGAAACAAGACGAGCTCAACCATGGCGCTAGCTTCCATTTATAGTGCCTGTGGAAGAACTTAGAGTGAAGCCACGACTTTAGCTGCGGATAAAATCCGCAGGTAAAAGTTACAGTTTTTAGAGGACAGGGACGAAGGCGTGTCGCTTCCCCATTTGTCCATTCAAATATTTGCGTGCATTTTTATTGTTTTTTCCAATATTCTTGTTGTTTCATATATTATCTCCAGTGCTTGATTAACATACAACAAAGCAACGTAGCCCAGTTGGTCACCAGGTGTACATTCAAAGCGTTAGTGGCTGGAGGTCAGGGGTTCGATCCCTGCCTCTAGCATTTGTTATTTTTCCAAAATATTTCAGGTAATCAGGTGCACGCCTAAGCTGGAGATCCATCATACTCCCTCACCAACCAACGTGCCAGATGGTCAGATCTGGTGGCCAATATTGAAGGAGCATCAAAGGGCCAGGTCAACGCACATACACTGGATCAGAAAAGTCCAATGGATCAGCATTATTGGGCCAACAAAATTGCTTTTGACACACCCAAAATCAGGCCCATCTCTCACTTTTTTTTATATTTTTGTTTGTTTTATTTAATTGTTTTATTTTATTTTATTTAAATACTAACCAATAACATAATTTCTTTTTATCAAAAAAATCACAAAAATACTTTTTATCCAATTAAATTTTAGAACTTTATTTTTATTTAATAGATATTAATTAGTTAATTAGGTTATTAATTCTAGATAACTTTAATTGATTTTGTAAATATTTAAAATCAATTAGAATTTAATAGGTTTTAACCCTTATTTATTTATTTTCTTTTCTTTCCTAAATTAACAAAAAAATCCAAAAATATGTCATTAATTATTTTTCATTAATTGATTTATTTAATATTAATTTAGCATTTAATTTTAGGATTCAATTTCTTTTCTTAAAATAAAAACAAAAAAAAAAACCTTTTCCTTAATTAAAAGGGTCAAAACCCTAATTTCGCATCCGATTTAATTCTGTATCGCGCGCTTTATTTTTCTTTATCCAATTGGTATATCTGCTCCTGGTTTATAAAAAATAATTAGGACATTTATTTATTTTTCCGCTTTTATTTTATTTTCAAAGGGTTGTTTTTGGCGATGTAAATACCCGACGCCTTGTAATAATTTAGTTTAAATTCTGCATTTTAATTCTGCAAATTATACAACTGCTAGATGTTTGATAATAAGGCTTACATGACAAGAATGAATGTTTAATCTTAAAACGGTTAGATCACCCTAAACATGTGCAAAGATAAAAATAACTGAAATCAACACACTCGCACATGCGCACTCCTAGGGTACACCCCACTTGGTTGCCTTCGTACACGGTCATTGAGTATAGGTTATTTTAGAGGTCACCCTCTTTTCTAAAAGATCATAGTTGCCTCAAAATGGTTTCCTCGGATATTGTTGCCTCGAATAGATGATCTAAGATATTAGGGTTACCACTAAGACGTCCTAACATTGCTTTAGTAACCGTATGTCCCGCTCTCGAATTGACCCTAAAACTCCAACGACGATGCTACCTACTCACTAATAGTGGGATAACATTGTCTAAAGGAAATTAGCATAGAACGATTCCTTTTTTGAGTAGGTAGATTAGTTCTTAGATACTTGCTCATCCAAAAACAAACTTTTTCTCACACTTACACTCTTTTACAAACAAGTTTTCAAAAACACTTTATTACACTCTTAAGCAAGAGTTAAATCGAAGTTAAAAAACAAAACTTTTCAAAACCCACAAACACAAAGAAAACAACCATCCTCTAACAGCAAAAACCCTTTAAGTTTCTTTCTGTCATCATCTTTGCCATAAATAGCAGATTCATCTCCCAAAAAAGGACTTGTAGGAGTTGCATTCCAAACACAGTTGGAATCACCTTCTTTCAATCCAAGATTTTGGTTTTTTAAATGTTCTAATCTTCCGAATAATTTTTGCAGTTTAGAATTGATCTTTTTATTAAACCTTTTAAAATAAGACAAAAACTTATTAAGAACCTGACCACCTTCAGCTTGGCACCTTAAAGCTTCGGTGTTGAGTTCGTCGAACAAATCGTCAGCTTCAAATACAGCATCTTGCAACATCTCCAGACACTTCTTGACAGCAGGGTTAGCGATCTGTTTGTCCTCAGCATCATGAAGTACAGATTGAAGGCTCAGCAGTGTTATCTCCAGCTTCTCCAACAGGTCAACGTCAAGCTTAGTCCTCCTAAACAAATCAAGAAACTCACCAGAAACAACCTTTTTCACCAACATCTCCATAGAAGCCGAAAGAAGTGCTCCTCCAACAATAGCCTCCATGACTTCGTTCAACAGAGTAAGAATAGTTTCTGAAAGAATATGCAATGCAAGGTTGACGACAGTGCAGCTTCACAAGACTTATTATTAGCGACTAGTGGATTGATTGTGTGAACCAAAATAAATTTCTTATTTAAAAAATGATTTAATTATTTAAAATATATATAAGACTTCATTACCTAATTTAATTATGAAAAACATTATAGTAATATTTAGAACAATAAATTATATTTTGATAAACAACTAATACACATGTAACAAACAAAACAAAAAAACTAGAAATAATTATAATATGTGCACAAACATTGATAAACTACAAACAAAAATACCAATACATGAATATAAATACGGGAGCATTGATTGAATTTTGAATTTTGACATGATAAAAAATTGTCTTGGTTACCTACGATTCTGTCATACTAATTAGATTAAATATTAATTTCTAGTGAGTCGGGCTAAAGAAATTTGAATAATATATGCGCCTTAACTTTTTCATCCAAAGCCTTCACTTTTGTAGTTTTTGAATATGTCCGAGCAGATCCGATCTATTACCTTCGTCTACCCTAGGTTGGGGTGGTTCGACAGGCACTACTTGTGGTGGTATTTGATTGTTAGGTACTCGGTGGATATGTTTTTGTGGTGCACCAAAGAAGTGAGCAATTCGATCCATCTGTTGTGTCAATTGGTGATTGAAGAAACTGGGTCAAGAAATCACATCAAAAATACAATGAAGTCGCCATCGAACATTTTTTGTCCCACAAAAAGGGAAAGGAAAGCATCTAGTAACCCTGAGAAGGGAAATGAATCAAGGTCCCGCGACCAAGAGAAAAGGGTACAGAAGTTGATTATGCAAAGGGAAGGTGTTAGCACCCCTCACGTCCGTGATACTCCACGGGATCTACTATTGTTTTTTAATCAAAGGGTGTGTTTCTATCTAAAGCTTACAAGCTAAGGGGAAATGCATGATTGCAAAGTGTATATATAAAGAAAAGGGTTTTATTAGTTGCGCCCGTTGTGGTTGTGAACCTTTTGTTCCTACGTACCCCATTCATGCAATAAGGGATCAGGGCACTCATAGTTCTTCTAGAAAATGTTGGTCTATTTGTGTTTTTTAGGAGGATAATGTTACATTCACACTCTAGCAGTTGACATATGCGACTCGACCTTTGGGGACTTACGCGTTGTTTTACGTGGAGAAGAAATAACACATCCTTTTATAAAAAGATTTTCAAAGAAAAGCCTGAAGGCAAAAGAGTTTGAATTGGTTGGTGTTTTTTACCATGAAAAAGGATTTGAGATTTGAATCGTATTAAAGACTATGATTGGGAAAATGTACAAGGTTAGGGAATGCACCCCCTCATGCTTCTCCTTAATGCTTAAGGCTCGTGACACATGGTTCGCATCATTATTGTTAAGTGTTTTGAGTGTTTGGTAAAGAAAAAGAAAGTTTTAGTTTTAAAGATGCAAAAGGGGAAAGAAAAAGTCTAACGGAAACTATATAGCCCTAATGTCATCATACAATGGTGGCCTTAAGGTTAAGGTTGAAAGGGAAATATCTACCTAATGGTAGGATGCATGGTATAGAAACCTAAGATCTATCTCAATTTTCTTCCTAAAATTGAATCAAGAAATTTAATGGGAACATGGAATAATGCGCAAGGAAGTGTTCACAAATAAAGGTGCTAACAAGCAATGTCAAGCTAAAGAAATCCAAACAGTGAGTGTGAGCTAGTAACAATAATAACCCAAGGTGGATTTTGGCATGGGAGTCAAAAGACTCTCCTTCCACTAGAATATCTCAAGCATAAATCGAGTAAAGACTTGAAGCATCAACGTTTAAGAATGCAATCTAAGTATCTTCGAAATGAAGACAAAACGTGGGGGTCGATTACGAGCCCTCCTTCCACTTTTATTGACTCAAAGGACAAGAGAAGCACGATTCGAAGCATCAACGTGTAACGTAAACTAACAATGACCAAGGGACTTGAAATGTGGGGGCCGATTGCGAACCCTCCTTCCACTTTTATTGAGTTGATTGCAAGCACAAAGGAAAAAGGGGAGGGGAAACAAACCAACCAATCACACGAATACATTGCTTATCAGGCAGGACTTTAAACAACTACTCTATGCCATGAAAGCGGTTTCGCAATGCCTACATGGTAGTTCTTCAGCTCATGCATCTCTATTCCTACTTCTCATGGCAAAGAAATTAAAAGAAAATGCGGAAATAAAATAAAATGAGAAAATTACCAAATGAACAAAGGTAAGTTAACTTTGTCTAGCAAAGCACAAGAAACCTAAAGATCTCCGTGGAAGCTTCATCAACAAACAAAATAATCAGAAATTGAATGCACAAGGTGAATGTCGAAACATCATCAATATGAAAATAAATCACAATCGAAAGGTGCGTCAAGGAATGTCTGAATACCAAATAATAATCCTGCATAACATAAAAGTCCAGACAAACAAAGGCAATCCACAAGTTTCATGGAATGATAATCCAAGCTCAAGTGCACTAGAAACAAATATAATCCAAAGAGGAAATTGGATAAGTATTTAACCAAATAATCAAGAATTAATAATCAGTTTCACGCGGAGAGGGGTATGGCGCGTAGAGGGATCGCGACGGGTCGGACGGGAGGAGGGCGGCCAGACGGGGGGAAGGCGGTTGGACAGGCACCGTGTGGTGGCTGGCCAGTGATCGGTTAGAGAGAGAGAGAGAGAGAGAGAGAGAGAGAGAGAGAGAGAGAGAGAGAGAGAGAGAGAGAGAGAGAGAGAGAGAGAGAGAGAGACTTGAGAACTTAAGATTTTGAGAGTAATTTTTGTGAATAATGAGCCAAAGTTCTTTTGAATATGAGTAGAAATCAATATATAGAGAGTCTTAAGTCATGTTTGGCATTTGGAATTGGAAAAACTAAATTTTGGAGCCAAAATTCCCTCTCTTTTTCATGTCAAATTTGGTTGCGCGACTTTTTCATCATATATTCATGTTCGGTTTGAGATGCGCACCATAAATCGAGACCTTCTAAGCATAATTCGAACTCGGACTTTGAAGAAAATTTGTAGATAACATAATTTGTGATGTCATTCCACGAGAACTGTCTTAGAATGTTGAAAATCGATAAAGTTGTGATTTTTTCAATATTTGAGAAACAGACGACAGGAAATCTGCTTCACCACATAATTTTCAAGGAATTTGCAATTTCTAAGATTTTCCTTACAAAATTGGATCTCGACATGAACATATGAAATGAAGAAGACATCGAGGGGATTCTTATGCCCAATGACCCACTTAAAAATATGGTTCCGCATGAAAGTTATGAATTTTTGAACCTGAATCTTGAAATGCCGATTTTCGGTCTAAACCGTCTCAAATCAACTGAAACACTTGATTTTCTCTACAATTTAAGGCATATTGGGACACATAGGAGCTTGGTGTGATAACTAATTGATTGATCACTGATTGAATAGCTTGGAGAAACGTGTTGAGTACATTTCGATTATGAAAACCTTAAGTTCATGCTTTACCGCTTTGCTTGACGTACAAACGTCTTCTGTAGCTCAGTGAGGCTTAAGAGAGAAATACCTTGATCACATGACCATAGAACCAATTATATGCATGCATGAGTATGTTAGAGAAAATATAAGCCACTTAATGGTTAGAATGAAAAGGGTAAATTTTGGGGTACAACTGTGGTAACTCTGATTGGTGTTCTAAATCAAAGGAGTGAACAATGTGCTTATTCACTGTATCAACATATTTTCCATCTCGTGGTTACTGTCATCCATTTGTTTCCTCATGGCTGTCAGGAAAGTTGTAGTTAAAATTGACATGCTCTGAGGGATGTATGATACCCCCCGCTTGAGGTTGTATCATATGACTAGGGTTACTTATAGCCGACTCTAATGCTGCATTTGGGTTTATAGGCGACGCTATCACCACACCATTATCTGCAAATGTCGATGCATTGTTTTTCAAACCCGCCATTATAGCAGATGGCATGCCATATGGATAATCTCTACCACCTAGGGGTAGTGTGAAACTTGAGACGTATAGGGGCATAGGGTCCCCAACAACAACCTGTGTCGCCCTAGGGGTAGTTGGGATACTCGCTATCGGCAGTAACGACACTACCACTCTTGGAAACAATGTTGATATCAATACTGGGGTTAAAATAAGACTAGTTACTCTGACAAGATTTGAAGCCCCTTCAAAACCAACCGTTGATCTGAATGGCTGTTCTATGACAGGAACATCATTTTGTGAAGTTTTTTTAGACGTATAATTTTAATCAATTTTTTACCACTTCATAGACGCCTACAAATCCAGACATTGAAATGGCTTTCAAAAAAATAAGCGAAATAAAATAAATTGTAACAAACTTCCTTGAAAAAGGTTTGAATTTTTTTGTTACACAAAAAGTTCCACTGGGCGTGCTAATTTGTTTATCAGTAATTTTGGTACACAATCACGAGTTTAGTTCACCTATGAGATTAAAACAAAAAAATCTTGTGACCAATTGATAAGTGCCAAAGTGTCGTTATTTTGTGTATATAATTTGTGGCACTTATTGATGCTTTTTGTTAATATTCGTTGAATAATCCCGATTTTGGTGTAAATACATTTAGTTTTTATATAATTTAGCTTTCATTCATTTGTGTAATGTTTGATAGTTTTAATGTCTTTTTGTAGGTATTGTTGCGTATTTAGAGCATCGAGGAATAAGGTGCCGAAGGCACGGTTCCAGATGTGCGTTTTTGGAATAAAAGTCCATTTTTGGGAAGTTCTGTCTAGGCAAGTGGTGATACGGTGGGAGAACTGACTTGAGGTTTTGCGTTTGTGTTTGCAAATGTTTAGGTTTAGCAAGAGTCGCCACTGACTTTTTATGTTATCCTAAGGAAAGGTCAAAAAGCACAGGAAAAACCATTGAGATGTTTTCTTGGGTTCGGGGAGTAGATTATGAAAAGGGAAGGTACAAGCACCCTTTTCATCCATGGTTATC